ATCGATTGAATCCTCAAACTACACCAGTTTGTATTCTATTGACATTTATATTAATAATAATCATAATTCTTTACGAAATTTTATCAGTAATGAAAAAATAACTAAACTTGAACGATTTGTTCTCTTCGTTGAACAACGAATATACTCTATATATATATCTTTTGATCGATAACACTCATCGACTGAAAGCAGAAAAAAAATTGACATGCATAATTTATCTTTCATTTTTTCCAATCAAATATTGAAGGATATTTTAGTAGCACTTGAAATGTAATTATTCACGTGTTGAAAAAGTTACATAATTCACACATTTTGAATATATATAAACGTATAAGATCGAATCAAACTTATAATCAATCATGACTGTGGATGAGAAAAAAAAGAAAAGAAAGAAGCAATGCATACATAGTTGTATGACAATGATGATCATCATCTATATAAAACAAAACAAATTGACTCTTTTGAATATTTCCTATCACTAACTTTTTTTTTTCTTTCTCAACATGAATAGTTTAGTCATTAGATGGATTATAGTATCTTCCTATTAAGGTGACCTTTTTCATATTCTTTTTTGATCTTTTATTCCTAATTGCTGTTTATATATATCGATATTTAGTTGCTAACACTATGAGAAATTATGTAAGTGATGTAATAACCTTGTAAACAATGATGCTGAGATGAATAATCAGAAATCTTCTTATAACTATACTTTTGATTCACTTGACATTTTATCTCTCATATGATTATATTAATGAACGGATAGAGTTGAACATGTTTTTATATCAATGTATCGGCTTAGACTTATTGATATTCTACATATATATTGTCTTTCTTCTTTACTTTTGATCATTGTCATTCATTCATTCATTCAATAAAATCAAACAAAATCTATGTAAAAATCTTTTCATCGTATGTATTCAAATCGAGTATATTCAGTCTTATCGGAGTTAACATACATATAGGACAAGATATAAATCGTTGATATGTCTTACGCACGAGCGAACATCTATACTGTAATATATATACTATATCCGATTTTTTATCTCACACATATCACAAATTAATGATGTAAAAAAAAATTGATGATCACAATCATTTTTTTTAACTACGCAAATGCTGTCAGTGTGTACTCTGCATCTGCTTTTCGTCACTCTTCTTCTTTTTTTTTCTACGTTCTTTTTTAATGTGTGTCATGTACAATAATCAATAATAAGAACAGCATTTCAAATATATATATATATATATTCAATATTAAAAAAAAAAGATGTACACCTTTTTTTTCTTTTTCTATTCTCTTGTAGTCGCGTTTGATCAAAGATCTTTTTTTTTCCTTGTTGTACTTAATAGAAATTTTGTATGTACATGTCTTAGTGAACTTGTCATACAGCTCTTAAATGAATTTGTTATCTCTTCAGGTAATTTTAAACGATGTGTAAGTGCGATTTGTGACAGTTTTGTTTCGTATACTTGAAAAAAAAAAATTTAATATATAATACATGTCGAGAGAGATTGGTCGATGTGATGTAACGTTCTTTTCTCTTTTTTTTGAAGCACGCGAGAGAAGAGAAGAAAGAGACTCTTGTTTTATTCTTCTAATCTTAATGTAAGTGTACATGTAAGAAAAATAATGGTCATCTATACATATATATATGATTTTTATTACATCTTAGGTCGATTTGTTGAAATAAACAAATTGATGTTTTCTTTCCGTTTTATCGATCATTATCTTATCCTCTGTTGAACACTTCTGTTATATAGACTTATTTAGTGATGACCTTAATACAAAGGGATAGTACCATATGAATGACCGGAGGCATGAGAATCGATTATATGTCCTACTGTTTATAGTAGCCTTTCATCATTAATAAGAAAACGACAGTAATACTTAATCTTTTCATCATCATCATCGAACAAAACTATTCATCAATAGAAAAACTGGGCCAATTCTCAAATGAATGTCCGTTTTTATTTCATTTCTAGTTTGTATTCATCGGGTTGACATGCGCACGTATGTATACGCACGCAAGTAATGATACTAGGTAATGATCGATGTTTCTTCGCTTTCAAGTATTTCTTTTTTTTTGTCGTCTTTCAATAATTATTTACCTCTCGATTATTCAATGTATCCTTTCTACATACAAATTAAACTGTATTGATGTTGATGTTGATACTGTTGTTGGTGGTATTGGCATAACATCGACGATAAATAGACTCTTCAATATTCAATTGACTCTTACAAAACGTCTACATATATATATATGTTTCTTCATCATTAATTTTTAATCATACTTTATACTATTACTTATATAAAACAAAAGGTGAAGAGACAGAATGTTATTGTTAAAATTGTCGTATGACAATCGATAAAAATGTCAAATATTCAAACATTATTGTAATGAGAAAGACGTTCAAATGTATGAAGGTTAATCTCTTTTTATTGTTATGTCTTTTCTCGTTTTTCTTCTATACGAGATGTTGATTGATGAAGATGAGGTCGTGCTCCGTTACACCTGCATTTTTTCATTCTTTTACATTCATTCATTCATTCATCAATCTTATTACTTTTTAGTTTGCTTTTCTTATACATTACTAATTTTAGATGATGTTATTATTTCTATTTGTATATTTTCTTTTATTTATTTCTTCAATACAAACTTGTCCTTTAAAAATTGTTGATACACGTTCTGGTTGTTATTGTGGAATAGAAATCGATGGTACAAATTATATTCAATGTCATCCATATTCAATAAATCAAATACCAGAATTTACACGTTCATATATTCATGATAAATTAAATCTATCTCGAAATTCTATTGAATATTTAACAAATAAATCATTTCAACAATTAAAAGTAAAACGTATTTATTTAGAATATAATCCAATAAAATCAATTGATAAACAAACATTTAATCATAATAATTTACTTCATTATCTCGAAGAACTTTATATCGATACATTAAATAATCATACATTAGAATTTTTATGTTATGGTACATGGAAAAATCTTCGTATACTTAAATTATCTGGTTTTAATCTCAATCAATATCAATATTGTTTAGAAAAATTTTATCGTCTTGAAAAATTAATTATTCAAAATTCACAAATTCCGTTTCTATCATATTATATGTATCAACTACCAGTTCTATATGAATTATCATTAATTAATAATTCGTTAAAAGAATTTGCAATTGATGAACAATCTATATCATCAATTCGTATATTAAATTTAACATCAAATCAATTTCATACAATACCAAATGATATAAATATTCGTTTACCAAATTTAATTACATTAGATCTTTCACATAATTTTATTGAACAAATACCAAATTTACAACAAACGACAATCTTGTATTTAAATTTAAGTTATAATCAAATTAATTCGTTCGAAATCAAACAAAATCAATATTTTATTGATTTATCATCGAATCCAATATGTACAATAGATAAAACAAATGATTTAACAAATATATTACTAAATAATTTAACTAATCTTCATTGTGATTGTCGATTAGGATATTTTTTAAAAGATAATTTATTTGATAATCAAACAATATGTTCAACACCGGATATATTTCATGGTTTATATGTTAAAGATTTAACATACGAACAATTAATGAGTGTATGTTTAATAGATTTACCTCTTAATTGCAAAGAAATAACAAATTTTAAAGAAATTCAACAATATGCTCAATATTTTATTAATACAACAGAACAAATTGTGAATACAACAAAAAGTAAGATAAAATTACAAAGTCTTTTTTTGATGTTATATATATATATATATAAATCCTATTGCATATTGATGAATGATACAAATAATCGGATTGGAGATTATGTTTCACTTGTGAATATATCTCTTCTTAGTCAATGATGTGATTAAAGAGAAAAGTAACGAATTAAAAATTATACTAGGCTTTCGAAATACAATTTTTATCTTGAAATTCAATCGTTATGTTTTCATTATCGTCAAGGTAAAAGTTAATGATGAAAATATTATGAAAAAAAAATCGATCGTTTTAATAAGTGTAAATTCATTGAGGTAAAATGCTTCTAATGCTTAGAAAAATAACATCAGTGATATGACAAACTATTTATGGTTACGTCAAAATCGATCAAGGTTATCAACTATTAATAAGAGCTTCTTAAGAGTAAATTCAATTACTTCCTACAGTTGACACTTCTCTTGAATTTTTGTTTGACAAAGGAATATAATTGAAAAAAAAAATGCTTCGGTATTATTAAGTATTTGAATTAAAATCTTGTGTTGGATTAAGATGGTATAATATTCAAGTCTTTCTTTGTACATGATAGATGAATGTGGACGGGAGAGGGGGGGGGGTTCTTAGCTTTTATTTTTTAGGAGTAGTTTTCAAGTGGAGATAAACTATTTGTAGGGGGCTGAGTCATCCTCTCGTTACGCACCTAATCAAAATACGTGCTAATTCAATTATAAAGGAAGCTACCAATAGTTCATAATGAAAACATAAACATTACTTAGCTTTCTATACTACACATGACCTTGAATTCTATGATGAGTCATAAAACTGTTAAATAATTTATCATTAGCATTTACACAGACAAAAATTTTATGTTTATTTTTAGTAACTGAAACAATACGAAATCTTAATAATGAAGAAATTAATGTTTCATCTTTTCGTTTAACATCATTCTATACACTTTATGAAAATAATGATTTATTAATCTTTTGGGATTTTGACACTTTATTAACAGATTATCTTTTAACAGCACAACTTCAAATTATAATTGAACATGAATCTCAAATTATTCGACGTAGTAAATATCTTTCACCATATGTTAAACAATATATTATACCTCATATACCACCAAATAAAAATTATTATGTATGTTTATTATTGAAACAATCATCATATGGTACTAATAAATATTGTCGAGAAGTAATTCTATTAACTAATCAAACATTTTCTCAATTATTATATGTAAATCGTTCGATTGTATTTGGCTTTTTTACTGGTACAATTCTTACAACATGTCTTTTAGTAACATTAGCTTTTATTTGTCATTTACATTATAAACGAAAACATTTTTATCCATTATATCATCATCCACATCAGCATCATCATCATCATCATCCTCATCAACAACAACGTTATATGTATATTCATCGAACTAATGACGAAGGAACATATAAACATTCAATTCTTTCTTCTTCATTATCAAAACAACAACGTCGTCGAGGACATTTAAAACCACTTCCACCTTGGTATCAACAAACATCAAAGCAATTATCATCAATTCCTCGTTCACCTTGTTGTCTTTTACAATATCATGATAGAACATTAAGTGGTAGTACAACAACAAATCGTATGATAAGTTTATCATCAGAATACAGTAATGGAATTGATAAAGAACCAATGACATCAACATCAATTATGAGTAATATGAGTTTAGATGATCAAGAAAGTCATACAATTCAAAGTCCAACTAAACATGTTTATGAAGAACTTGGTGATAATAATTTATTAGTTTAATGTTGATGTATGATTTTTCTTTTTCTTTTTGTAATTTGAAAGTATTTAATTCGAAAACAACTGTATAATAATATATATTTTCTTTTTTCTTTTTTTCAATATTAAATCTTAATTAAATAAAAATTGACTTTTTAATAATTATCAACACATATTTTTTGTTTAACTTCACTACAGTGCTTTGCATTGTAAGTCGGCCTAAGGTAGTTTTTTTTACATTACTTCTCCTGCAATAGTTTTTCGTTATTTTTTGGTCATACTTGGGGGGTTACTAAGGGGAAGCATAGGCTACCTAATGGCATAATAAAATTGATAAATCATCATATTAACTTTATAAAAAAATATAATAAAGATAGACGAAAAAATCAAGTGTGACATGAATTTTTTCAGCTTAAAAACTTATTTATTTGATAAATATAATAACTAATTTACAATAGAAAATGACATCCACAGTGAGCTTCTGTTT